ATCAAAACAAAACAAAACCCCAGAGAACAAAATTCACTGGGAAAGGTGGCATACCTGTGGCCCTAGGTACTCGGGAGGCTGAGGCGAGGGGATCACTTCAGCCCAAGAGTTTGAGGCCGCAGTGAGCTATGATTGCACCACTGCCCTTCAACCTGGGTGAGAGAGTGAGACTCTGTCAAATAAATAAATAGATAAGTAAGTAAGTAAATCAACCTCCAGATTACTAATTCTTTGACGTTCTCTTTAGATGTCAGGATTTTTACCCATATACTCTTTCATACAAATGTTTTTATATTCATAAATGTAAATAAAGAATTCAAGAGGACTTAGATATTGAAAAGTAGTAAAAATAACTTAGATAAGGACTTGAAAGGGCATTTATACTTTGGCCAAATATATAAAACTGAAATGTCTTATGTTGGAGATGTAAAATTAAAAACAGTTCTGGTTGGGTGTGGTGACTTAACGCCTGTAATCCCAGCACTTTGGGAGGCCAAGGTGGGAGGAAAGCTTGAGGCCAGGAGTTTAAGATCAGCCTGGGCAACACAGTGAGACCCTGTCTCTACAAAAAATTAAAAAATTAGCTGGGCATGGTGGTGCACACTTGTCCCAGCTACTTGGGAGGCTGAAGTGAGAGAATTTCTTGAGCTTGAGAGGTAGAGGCTGCAGTGAGCCATAATCTGACACTGCCCGCCTGCCAGGGTAACACAGCAACTCCCCGTCTCAAAAGGCGAAAATAAGAAAACCCTAATTCTTTGACACAAGTAAGTTTGCTATTGTTAGCATTGTGTAAGATTTAGATTTAGACATAAATAACAAATAATTTTAATAGATTTAACATAGCTATCCTTATGGAAAAGGTATAACTATGATTTTGTCCGTGCAAAAATATGTGTAATTTTTTTTTAAGTTATTTTGTTCTCTTGCTTGGTTCAGTGAGTAGCAAAAGTAAAAGCAGGATATTTTACTGGCATTAAAGCGTTTCAGGTTTTTAGTGCTTGAATTTCTTTTAGATACCTGTCTGAACATCTTGGTGATTGGGTGCTATCCTACCACCTTTATTAGTTTTGACTGAGACAAAGTTTTTCTTCATATTGTGTCTTTATCACAATTTGCTCCTGGTTTGACCCTTTATACTCTATAAAACAAGTCTGGTTTTTTTTCCTGCATAGCTGTTTGTTAAATAAAAATGGAAATGGTATTCTAGTGGAGGTTTTCATTTCTTGACTAAATATTCTCAGAGACTTTAACCATTCCTCACATAGCAGCTCCACCATAAATAGCTGGTATGATCTTGGGGAGTTATTTAATCTGTGCTTGGTTTCCTTGTGTTTAAAATTAAGAATGTTGGTACCAGGGTCATAAAGTTAATGTGAGGATTGAGTTATTACGTTTAAAATACAACATTTGGCATGTAGTACACATTCAGTAAATGTCAGACACCACAGTTGACCCTTCAGCAACACAGGGATTGGGCATAGACCTCCTGCGTAGTTGAAAATCCACATATAACTTTTGACTCCCCTAAAACTTAACTACTAATAGCCTACTGTTGACCCAGAAGCTTTACTATATAACATGAACATTTGATTAACACAGATGTTGTCTGTTACATGTATTTTATACTGTATTCTTGCAACAAAGTAAGCTAGAAACAGAAAATGTTATCAAGACAATCATAATAAAGAGAAAATGTATTTACTATTCATTAAGTGAAAGTGGGCCAGCCTAAAAGTGTTCACCCTCATTGTCCTCACGTGGAGTAGGCTGAGGTAGAGGAGGAAGAGGAGTGGTTGGTCTTGCTGTCTCAGGGATGTCAGAGGTAGAAGAAAATTTGCATGTAAGTGGATCCATGGAGTTCAAACTGTGTTGTGTTGTTCAAGGGCCAACTGTATTGTTATTTCATCTTACATTGTTTCTCATCCATATTGTCTATTCATGAACCTGTTTGTCTTTCTCAAAGCATAGCTGAATGCAGTGGCAACTGTGAGCTGATCAGCCCAGAAGGAGTAGTACAGTCCTCACCTCCCCCATTAATATGGGTCAAAGAGCCGGGGATGGTGGCTCAGGCCTGTAATCCCAGCACTTTGGGAGGCCAGTACTTGCGCAGGCCAAGGCGGGCTGATCACGAGGCCAGGAGATTGAGGCTGTCCTGGCTAACACGGTGAAACTCCGTCTCTACTAAAAATACAAAAAATTAGCCGGGCGAGGTGGCGAGCGCCTGTAGTCCCAGCTACTAAGGAGGCTGAGGCAGGAGAATGGCGTGAACCCGGGAGGCGGAGTTTGCAGTGAGCCGAGATCGCGCCACTGCACTCCAGCCTGGGCGACAGAACGAGACTCCGTCTCACAAAAAAAAAAAAAAAAAAGGGGGGGGTCAAAATTGGAATTGATTTTTAAACATTCGTTGTGGGGAATTTAAAACATTAAAAAAAAGTAGACAGACTAGTATGATGGACCCTCATATACCCATCCTCCATCCCCAGCAGCACAACCAATGCAGCCCTATTTGTACTTCATCCAGTTCCTCCGTGGTATAATTGTAACTCCTCTGTTATACTTAGACTGCATGCCTGGTTTATCTTGATAATTACTAAAGCTTTTAGGATAATGCCTTGTTTTCTTAGTAAATAATTGTTCAATTAATGAAAAATGAATCTTGCCTTTGGATTCATGCCTGGATCAGCTTCTGTAGTTTGCTTGTGTAGGTGGGTGAGTGGGATTGAAAACAGATTTGTCTATATTTACTGTTTTTTAGATGTCACTTCGGTTTTTTTTAAATAATTTCTTCCATATCTGCTCATGGATATATATATATATATATGTGTATATATATATATATGGTAATCTTACTGGTGCAGTGTCTGAGTACGCTGAGAAATCCTATTTATCTGGGATAGAAGACTTCAATTTACTGTTTTCTTAGAGTCTTCATTATTTTGAGCTTGAAGACTTTACCCATGTTTATCATAGGCCGTCCAATCTGATAATCATGTTGTCTTAGCTAAATGGAAGCAGAATTGAAGAACTGTGCCTTATTTGCCATCTTTATTGGAATTATTTTTTAAGTCAGATTTATTATGGAATAATTTACATATTGTAAAACTGTGGTAATTTGTTGGCTTCAAATTAGAGGCCCTTCTTCCCAGTGTCCGTTTGCTCCAAACCTAACAAAAAGACAGCTGCCATTGTAATTGACTGTAGTACCTTTTTCAAACTTGTTTTTTCATAACCCTATTTTTACTTGTGCCTTATTGTTACTCTGCCTACACCTTTTACTGAAGTTTTAATATATTCACAGTTGTTTTTAAAGTGGTACTGAAGTGTGTAACTCCTGCTTAAAACAGGGATAGAGGCAATGTAAGTCTGGTTGTATTCATCTAGTGGGATAGGAATTCTGAAGGTGCAGTATGACAATTAAGAGTATTGCCTAGAGAGGTTAGCTTCTAGCACTCAGATCACTACCATCACCCTAAGATTGAGCCTGTGTGAGCCTGCTTAGTAGAAACAGCCAGCTGAGACAGGATTTGTACACTGCATACACCTCAAAGCAAAAGAAGGCTTAGTGAAAGTGAGTTTAGATTTACCCTCTGTAATTTATCCTGTAGTGACTTAGTATAGCTCTGCCTTTCCCACTCCTAGCTCTAGTTTTAAATGAAATATCTCTAGCTGGAGAGGAATCTTACCCTTCAGCGTTAGCAGTTTTACCTTAATTATTAAAAATTTCATCAAAGATTAGTTAACAAGGTCTTGAAAACAAGAATAAGATTTGTTTTAGACAGCAGGCTGAGAAAAGTATTCTGATAGAGAACATCATGTTGCCATGACACCATAGCCTATGAACCTCAAAACTGCAGTATTTCACCTTTGATACTTCTGCTAGTTTGCTTACTTCTGAACTTAAAAGATTCAGAAAATCTATTCATTTAGAAAATATCTATTGAGCATCTACGTGCTGGGAAGTATGTTGCATACTAGCTAAACAAAACAATGAACAAAACAGATGAACTTGCCATATGGAGTTTACAGTCTAGTAGGAAACAAAATGAAAGTTACTTGAAGCCATATAGAAAAATTGTGCTTTGCTTATACTTTAAGGATTTAACCAATTATTTTAAAGTGAACTTGGAGTGACTTTTCCTTGAGTTGTTTTGCAAAATGTATTTGCGCATTCAGAGCTTTGGGTTTAACATGTTTCTCTATGTGTGCTGGTAATGTGAAATTAAATATTAGAGAGGCAAGACAATTTAAACAGAGGGAGAATATTAGAATACATGTATTATAGTGAGATTTCAGGATAATGACTTGTAATACATTTGTGTGGATAAAACTGTATGTTTGTTTTGCCAAATGGACCTTTGCAAGCAGAAAAGAATAAATATCTTTATGGCCTTTCTTCTCTTCAAATGATTAATACTTAAGAATTGAACATTTGTATTTATCTTTCATGTGGAGGAAAAAAATGACAGATTTGTTGATGGAAAAGTAAATCTTTCAAATAGGAGGGGGAGGGTATAATAGAGCAAAGGGAAACCGTGAGACTAAGATCACGTTGGAATTATGTGACAATGTCACGTGTCTCTTGGTGAGAAAATATGCCTCAGATTCCTTATTTCAACAGAGTACAACAAAGTGCCTGAATTGAGTGATCCCTCCTAGTGTTAAGATTTTATCATTTTAATTTTTTTTTAAATCTAGCAGTTTCTTAACGACTTGGATTGTTGGAAAGTCAAAATGCTCTTTTATTTTGGTACTTGTTCAGGTTCAAGAATTAAAAACTTAAGATGGGGGAAGAAGGCTTTGCTTTCTCTAACTCTTATTTTCTGTAGGTACTTCGTAACTCAGGAAGACCTCATTTATTCCCAGTAATATGTTTTACTAAACTCTTTCAGGTAACTCTTAAAAGACTGTGTGACTTAATAGTAGATCATGGCTTGAACTCAGTTTTTATTTATTGTTGTTACTAGAAAATTTTTGTGAAATATTTTTCTTTGTCTCTGTAGTTATCAGAGACTACTGCAGACGATTGCTGTACTCGAGGCTCAGCGTTCTCAAGCAGTCCAAGACCTTGAAAGTTTAGGCAGACACCAGAGAGAAGCACTAAAAAATCCCATTGGATTTGTGGAAAAACTCCAGAAGAAGGTATACATTGAACCCTTTTTAAGATTTACTAAGATCTGTTTGGGAATAGCTTAAGAGAATTTGGCTAATTCTTTTTTATGGGTATATACTTTTTAAAATGTTTAATTTTTTTCGTCTATAATTAGCCGTACTACTTAAGGCAAGATACCAACTTCTTCCACCTCCACCAGGCAGACAATAAAATATATCCAAATGAAAATAGCTAGAAGCTTTTATTGGATGTTTGTATGGGAACTTGTCCTATTCCTTAGCCATTTTTTTCCCTAGCTTTTCCTGTTATCTTCCCCTTCTTTGAGTATTTTTCCTCCTCTGTATCAGGATTTAGGGATTAGTAAAGCTAAAAGAAAAAAATACTTCAGAATTGATTAACTACATTTGTTTCTGGGTTACTTTTGCACACTAGTACCTTTGTGCATATTGAGAGAGAAAACAATGGTGATCAAAACAAAATCTATTTTTAAATATCTTTAGAGTTACGATAGCCAAGTCCATGAGGAAGAAGTATAAATTTTACTTAATTCTGAAATGCCTTTTTTAAATGTGAAAATTCTCCATAATTTTGTTTTCCTTACAACAGAACTTTCATGCTTAACACTTAACCACTTAAAAGCGATACAGGTTTTTATAATGAGTTTCTTGGTGTGTAAATATGGAGATGATCTTGATGTGCATTTGTGCTGTAATAGGGACCCACTAATTGTTCACTAAATTTCAGAGGTATAATATTAATCAGCATTGTATGAAAAGATTAGAACTGAAAAACGATGAAAAAGAATCCTCTTCTTAAAAAAGAAATGAAATCTTATCTTGTGTGACAACTTTAGTGTCTTTATGAGTTACCTGTTTTGAATTAGTTACAAAAGTGGTCTACCAGGTATTAGGAGAGCAGCTCTGGGGACCTTATTTCACTAGATGTGTTAATTTATTATTTGAATGTTTCTAGGTATATTATTTAGTTGGTAAACATTTCTTTCTCTTCATACTTTTAGAAAACATTGAATATCATAATAGATGTAGAGTCTATATGTTGATTTGTTAAAACTCTAAGGTTTTTAGAATTTTGGTGTATCTTCTGTGTTAAAGTGAGGCCCCTTTAAGTGTTTATTGATTCTGCATTGCTGTTATTAAATAATTTGCTGGTACAAAAAGATATAAGACTTATAATGGTTATTTACAGTGAATTCAACTAAAACAGATGGTGTTAGTAAAGTAAATACTAATGAAAAATTCATTAACTTTAATTTCATTTCATTTACTTTCCCGGGTAGGCAAAAAGATGTAATTAGGCATATTTACTAGATTTGTATGCTGTTGATTATTTCCTGTTTCTTCACTTTCAGGTTTAGTTTGAACAGACTTTCATTTCTTTTTTTTTTTTTTTTGAGTTGGAGTCTCACTAGGTCACCTAGGCTGTAGTGCAGTGGGGCCTGATCTCGGTTCACTGCAACCTCTGCCTCCCAGGTTCAAGCGATTCTCCTGCCTCAGCCTCCTGAGTATCTGGGGCTGCAAGTGCACTGCACCACGCCTGGCTAATTTTTTTATTTTTAGTAGAGACTGGGTTTCACCATGTTGGCCAGATTGGTCTGAAACTCCTGACCTGAAGTGTTCCACCAGCCTCGGCCTCCCAAAGTGCTGAGATTATAGGCTTGAGTCACTGTGCTCAGCCTAGAATGGAATTTCTTTTCACTTTATTTCAGAAATAAAGATGTGATGTTGACCATCTTAATAATTTTTTATAAAAAGACATAGAAATATATTAAATTAAGATACTTTAATAACCATGAAGTTATTAGTGTCTGAGAATTTTTTTTTTTTTAATTAAAAAAGTCATGTTCTTTGGAAAAAAATTTTCCTACTAGGTTTAATTTAAAAGGTTGATTCTTCTATTTTTCTGGGTTTGTTCATACAAACTCAATTTGCCTATTTTATTTAGGTTTATCATATTAGTTATGTTGTTGACTTGTAACATGTTTGTTTTAGTGGACATATAAAAAATTCCTCTTAGTTCATATTAATGAAACTGGTGATATATATTGGTATATGGAATGCAGAGAACATTTATGGGTTGTTAGTTTTATTTAATATTACTATCATTATTTTAAAAGACACTGCCCTCCATCTAGAAGTAGTACTTAGGTTTTGCTAAATTCATTTATTCACTTATCATCTTTAGCATTTAATATTTAGACTATATTAATTAACTTTATTGTCATTTGGATTTAAACATGAATAGAAATGCCCCGTTGATTATTTGGATTTGGAGTCATCTGAAAATTTGACTGTGGTTGATTATTTCTTTAATTAAATTTAGACTTTTACTTTATCTTGTTTTTTCTCCCCTGCCCCCAGGCTGATATAGGGCTTCCGTATCCACAGAGAGTTGTTCAGTTGCCTGAGATCGTATGGGACCAATATACCCATAGCCTTGGGAACTTTGAAAGAGAATTTAAAAATCGTAAAAGACATACTAGAAGAGTTAAGCTAGTTTTTGATAAAGGTAAGAAATCATATGATAAGAATGTAAGTAGAAAAATATCTGGCAATGTTTTGCTTTAATGGTTCTGTATGTGGTCTTATTTTTCAGTAGGTTTACCTGCTAGACCAAAAAGTCCTTTAGATCCTAAGAAGGATGGAGAGTCCCTTTCATATTCTATGTTGCCTTTGAGTGATGGTCCAGAAGGCTCAAGCAGTCGTCCTCAGGTAAGCAGTGTGAAATATTGGAGTAGGAAAATTTGAATTTTAGACAAAACATTTTAACATTTTGTGGTTTGTGTTTTTAAAATTAAAGCAGTCTTTCACTGGAAGGTAAAGGAGATAGGAACTTTGAAATTAAGAGAAACTTAGGTTGGAGTCCTAACTTACTAGCCGTGAACCTTCAGACATCATTTATGTTGAAGTCTCTAAGCTGCGGTTTCCTTTTGTATAAAATGTAGTTAATATTACCTATGTTGTAGGGTTGTTGCTGAGGATTAAATAGGTAGTGTATGCAATGTGCCTAGTACAGTATCCGACACATAGTATTTAGTCTAAAAATAGTAGCTCCTTTGTGTGTAGTGAAATGTGACCAGGATTTGAGTCCTGGCCTTGCCACTCTTAGTAGATGACCCTCAGTGGACATGTTACTTTTCAATTCTGAGCCCACATTTCCTTTTCCTTTTTTAAAACATGAAGTTACAGTACTATTATGTATTTCACAGGATTGCTGGGAGTATAAAACCAAACGAAATAAAATAATGTGAAGGCATTTTGTAAACAGTAAAAACAAAAAGCATATACATTAAAAAAAATTTACTCAAATATTTCGAAATTAATTTAAAAATTCCACAATTTGTGTGTTATTTGGCTATATCACAGGTTAGATGTTGTTATTTTCTCTCTGACAAAAGCCTTGTCTTATGTGCAGATGATAAGAGGACGCCTGTGTGATGATACCAAACCTGAAACATTTAACCAATTGTGGACTGTTGAAGAACAGGTAATAGATATTTCAAAATTGTGTAGGCTTAAAAAATAAAAGTAAACAGTTAACATTACAGTCAATATTATGAGGCTTACGCCTGTAATCCCAGCACTTTGGGAGGCTGATGTGGGTGGATCACTTGAAGTCAGGAGTTCAAGACCAACCTGGCCAACATGGTGAAACCCTGTCTCTACTAAAAATACAAAAATTAGTTGGGCGTGATGGCGTGTGCATATATAATCCCAGCTACTCGGGAGGCTGAGGCAGGAGAATTGCTTGAACACAGGAGGCAGAGGTTGCGTTGAGCCAGGATCGTGCCACTGCACTCCAGGCTGGGCAACAGAGTGAGACTCCATCTCAAAAAGAAAAGAGTCCATATTTTGAGTCAGGTATATATTGTTGTTTGTGATACCTGTTAACCATGAGTTTTAAATATTTAGACTTATTTTTGTATACCTTTTTGCATACTTCAAGAATTTTGGATTTTGAGAATGTGTAAACTCTTGTTTGGGGATAATTTTAAAAGAAGGAACCTGGGTTTTGAGATGGCAGTAGAAGTGGATGGAATAAAATAGATGTTTTTGTAATATAGCTTTGGGAGAGAGAAAAACCTGAGGCCAGTAAAACTGAGCTTCAGAGTGCATTCTTATTTTTGTTGTCAAAGGGAGATGAGGAAGCCAGTCAGCGTTGGCATACAGCTAACATTTTTTTTGGCTAATGGCTAGGGTTGTTAGTGGGTGAAGTTTGAGGCACATCTTTGTCGCATATGGTTATTAACCCCACAGCTATACATTTAGCAGTTTATAAAAAGCTTTGGGAAATCTTTATTTATTTCAAGCATCCAGATTTTTCTGCATCTTCTACAACTATGAGAAGATATAGGAGACAAGAAGGAATATTAAAATCAAATATTTGAATAAAGGACCACACAAAAGAAGGAAAAGCTTCTTTTAATAGTTGAAATTTAAGTGAATTTACACGTTTTTGTTAAAACTGTAAGGGGAAAGACATAGTCTAGTAAGAAAAGATGGTCGGTGGAAATCACTAAAATGTGTAATCTACCAATTTGTTTACTTATTTTCTGTTTTCTTATGAGATCTTTTTACTTACGTGAATAGAAAACTTTTGTAAACTCTTTCATAAGTTTATTCTCTAATTTCATTGTTCCCTGTGAAGTCTTAAGTTTCTAACTAGAAATTTTTCCTACCATGAGGGTTTCTAATAATGTAACCCCCAAAGGTGGGAGAGAGTATTACACTTAGAAATGAAATGTGAATGTATTTATTTAGAAATACAGTATTTAAAATTAAATACATATTTTCTTAAATTTGGTCTTGGGTATGGCTTAGAAAAAACTGGAACAGCTACTCATCAAATACCCTCCTGAAGAAGTAGAATCTCGACGGTGGCAGAAGATAGCAGATGAATTGGGCAACAGGACAGCAAAACAGGTAATTGAGGAGATGACTGCAGATTGCTGGCATGCTTTTGGTAGTTTTTTAATAAAGGAGAATAATGCTGACATTGGGCGATCTGCCATAACACTTTCAGCTACAGAGTGCTGTAGTATGTTTTTTTTGTTTTTTTTTTTTTTTAAATTGTATAATTTTTGTTGATTTCAGAAACAAGTAACTTGAGATACTTCTGCTTTGGATCATTACGAAATATTAAAAAATGAACATATAATGGACTTAGTTTCTCTTGAATGCTTACTAAGTATACTAATTGTAAACTTTTTGGTTATACTGTGCAAACAGGTTTGTTTCATTGCCTTAGTATTCCCTGGTTGTCTTTCTAAAAATGTATCTTGCAGTTTACTCCTTCATATTCCCATCTATATTAATGGATGTGTTTTTATACTACAGACGCAAGTGTTCATAAGTTGAAATATGTGTTTAGCTTTAGAATCAAATTTAAATTTACTTGAATAATTTTTGTTTGGCCTAGATTTTAAAATATATGTGTATTTGGTGACAGTTTATTGTTATTTTTAGATTCTTGATGAGTATTGAATTCTTAGCATTCATTAGATACTCATGTACGTTTTAATTTTTAAAAACAACTCAGGTATTGTACGTCATCTCATTGTGTTAAGAGACTTGTCATGTTTCTTTAGGTTGCCAGCCGAGTACAGAAGTATTTCATAAAGCTAACGAAAGCTGGCATTCCAGTACCAGGCAGAACACCAAACTTATATATATACTCCAAAAAGGTAAAAGAAAATACATGAAAGTAAACTGTAGATTAAATTTATTAAAGAATGACTAAAAATGTACACATTTGACAGAATAGTGTTGCTGTATTTTAAAACTTCTGTTCATTCTAAGCATTTCCTTATATTGTGCGTAAATGCAGGGTAAGGACTCCATTATTGCTACTCAGTGAAATTCTGTGAGCTTTAATGATTCTTCATTATTTTCTTAGGAGTAATATGAATGAGTGCTACTTGAAAGATTTTAGATTCAAAATATGTTAGAAAGGGCTTTGTGAGGGTAAAGTTTTTAGGATATTTGATTATTTAATAAATACAATCAATTTCTGTTTTGTAGATAATGCTATATAAATCCAAGAATAGAAAGATTTATTATATTCTAAAGCCAGGCACAGTGGTGTGCACCTGTTGCCCCAGCTACTTGGGAGGCTGAGGCACGAGGAACACTTGAGGCCAGGAGTTCGAGTCCAACTCAGGCAACATAGAGAGGTCCCATGTCTTTAAAAAAATAAAATATTTTATTTAATCCTTACTACAATTCTTGAAGTATAAATAGTCTTATCATCTTCACTTTACTGACATAATATTAATAGCTGTTATATTGAGGGTCTCTGAGCCAGACTCTACTGTTCTAAAACCTTTTATTAGATAAGGAAACTGGGCCCTCGGGTATGTTGAGTGAATTATCTGGTCACTTAGCTGCTAAGTCTGGGAACCACTGATTCTCTCTCATTCTGGTGCCACGCTTTTTCTACTATTCTCTGTTGCCTTCTACGGTGGAGAAGCTACCGTTTCTTTCCCAAACAGGACACTACATTAAAATGTAGCCAGTTTCGGCCTGGCACGGTGGCCTGTAATCCCAGCACTATGGGAGGCCAAGTTCAGTAGATCACGAGGTCAGGACCAGTCTGACCAATATGGTGAAACCCCATCTCTACTAAGAATACAAAAATTAGCCGGGCATGGTGGCACACACCTGCAGTCCCAGCTACCCGGGAGGCTGAGGCAAAAGAATCGTTTGAACGTGGGAGGTGGAGGTTGTAGTGAGCCGAGATTGCGTCACTGCACTTCAGCATTGGTGACAGAGGGAGATTCTGTTTCCAAAAAAAAAAAAAAAAAAAAAAAAAAAAAAAAAGGCCAGTTTCTTGTAATAGCAAAAAATAAAGACGCCTAATTGGCTGTTTTAAGTTTCCTTAGTAAGTTATCCTGGTACTTTCCCCCCCCACCACTGCCATCTTTCTCGTAAAGAGAAGCTAAGAGTATATCTAGTGCTGTTACCCTTCCATACTGAAGCTATTTAATGTAATTTTACATTAAGAATATTGTCTATACAGTTTCATGTTTTACACATTTAAAAAAAAATTTTTTTTAAGCAAGCTTTGGAAGCTTGTTTTAATTTGCCAATTGTTTTAAATGTTTTGGATTTCCCACCAAATATAGCATAACCTGTGTTAGATATGTAGAGTTCATCCTATAACTGTGGAATATCGGAACCTTACATTAATCAGTGTTTAATGTAAGAGTTCTAATTTTCATGGTTAATTCTAAGCTAACGTTATAGATGTGTTGTAACCATATGTTTTCATAGTTAACACTGGATAATGATAACAAAAGGAATACTGGAGAACCTACATGTGTTTTTTTCCCTTAGGTGTACTGTATTTTGGCTGTGAAGATCTAGTACAGCTATATTTACAATGATTGCTTGCCATGGTTAAAGTTTAAATTTGGAAGCAGGTGAAATGATGGTTCTCCGTGTAGCTGAGGGTGTTCTTTGTGACTGTGCTATTGATCAAGACAGGCAGGCAGCATAGTGGTAGAAAGTGAGAATTTGGGCACCACACAGGCCTAGTTTATAATCCTTGTTCTACCACTATCTAGCTGCAACACACTGAACAAGAAACCTAACTTCCCTGTCCTCAGTTTTCTCATCTTTAAATTAGAGATGATGATAACTACTTTATAGGAATGTTGTAAGGATTAAATGACATCAGCATAGAGCAAACTTGTCCAACCCATGGCCCACATACCACCTGTAGCCCAGAACAGCTTTGAATGTGGCCCAGGACAGATTGATAAACTTTCTTAAAACATTACAATAGTTTCTTCTTTTTTTTTTAGTGTTAGTGTATTTTATGTGTGGCCCAAGACAATTCTTCTTCTAATGTAGCCCAGGGAAGCCAAAGATTGGACAACCCTGGCATAGAATAAGCAGTCAATCAATGTTAGATAAGTATTTTCAGATATTCATAATGTTATAGATATTTTCCTTTTATTGGGTAGTTTTATTCCTGGCATAGGCCACTTCATCCTCTCTGATCTTCTATAAGATGATCATAAGAGTTCAGTGCAGCCAGCATTTGACTGCCAAGAGTATGATAAATGCTGGGGATACAAATATAAGCTAGATACTGAGCATGTGGTTCATTTTACCATTGTTGGAGTATTTCCCCTACATTTAAAAGAAATTTTTTTAAGGCTAGTTATGCTTAAAATTAAACACAGAAAGCATAGAGAAAGCAACAACATAAGAGTATGCTAAAGGATAGAGTGAAATTCTTCTGATAGACTTGTTGGAAGTAACATTTGTATTTTTTATATTTCTGATTCTTGTAATGATTTTTCACTGTCCCAATTAAAAATTTGTTTTCTTATTTAGTCTTCAACAAGCAGACGACAGCACCCTCTTAATAAGCATCTCTTTAAGCCTTCCACTTTCATGACTTCCCATGAACCACCAGTGTATATGGATGAAGATGATGACCGATCTTGTTTTCATAGCCACATGAGCACTGCTGTTGAAGATGCATCAGTAAGTTACCTATTTAGTTATTATACACATCAAGGTATAGAAGAGAGTAGGATTTTCTAAATATTCCACTCTTCAGAGAATGTTGGTTTCTTTTAATGAACAAGTCACATGTATAGTTTTTAAGTAATGTGCTTTTGTGAGGAAAATTTCAAACATATACAAAAATAGAATAGTATAATGAACCTTAGCAATTATCAACCTGAGGCTACCTTATTTTAATCTCTACTCCCTCCCTACCCACCTCAACTCTGCTCTGGATTATTTGGGAGCAAGTCCCAGATACTACACAACATAATTTTCATATTTATAAAAGGTAATTTATTATATAGTGAAATGTATAGTCACCGTTCATTATTTTTTTTCTAATTTGTTCATTCAGGTTTGGATCCAAATAAAGCCCATAAGCCACAATAGGTTCATTCTCCCTCTTTCACTTTCCTTTTTTCCCCTCTCACAATGTTTTTGTTGAAGAACTGGTTCATTTGTCCTATAGAATTTTCTAGTATGGATTTTATTGATTACATCTTCTTCTTGTCATTTAATCTGTTCCTCTGTTTTCTGAACTTCCTGTAAATTCATAGTAGGTCCAGAGCATTGATGAGATTCAGATGTATTTGTTTGTTAGGGTGGGCAGGACTACTTCAGGTTTACTTTTGTCAGCCTGGTTGTCTCTTTTTTTGGCATAACAGCCACTGATCATTGCCTAGATCGATTAATTCATTAGATGTTACAGAATAGTGATTATGCTATCATTTTTTCATTTACTTGATGGACTATTTTATAAAGTAACCCCCCTGCCCCCCAGTCAACTATTTGGTTACTCTGAGGTACATATAGAAAAGGTAGGATAATTGCTGGATTCTCCCTTTATTTTCTTTTTCTTTTTCTTTTTTTTAGACAAAGTCTCGCTCTGTCGCCCAGGCTGGAGTGCAGTGGTGCGATCTCGGCTCACTGCAGCCTCTGCCTTCCAGGTTCAAATGATTCTCCTGCCTCAGCCTCCTGAGTAGCTGAGACTACAGGCGTGTGCCACCATGCCCAGCTAATTTTTGTATTTTCGGTAGAGGCTGGGGTTCACCATGTTGGCCAGGATGGTCTCGATCTCCTGACCTCGTGATCCGCCTGCCTCGGCCTCCCAAAGTGCTGAGATTATAGGCATGAGCCACCATGCCTGACCTATTTTCTGGTTTTTAAAATAATGAGTTCATTTTGTCATATCCTTCAAAGATGACCAATGAGGTTTAAAAATTTTTGTGTATTCTTATAAACTATTGGCCGTAAATGTATTTAATGTAGTTCAATTCATTGATGTTACTGCCTTTGTTAGTGTTCAAACTGGCCCATATTTGGATAGTTGTAGCCTCTTTAAGTTGGCTTCTAAGTTCTTTTGATAAGACTCTAATAGTGTTTAATAGCTTCTTTAATACCCGTTTTAACAAGGAAAATCTAGGCTTATCTTGTATATTTCCTGCCTCAGACCCAGAGTCAGTCCTTCTTTTTACTGGGAAATGGTATTTAGAGACTATATCCTGACTGTAGTAATGTTACTTGCTGCTGGGTTCACCATTGTTTCTAGGCCTGTTAATGGACAGAGCTGGGAAATATGATACATTTTTATTTTATTTAAGGATGAAAGACATGATTAAGTTCATATTTTAATTTCAAATTCAATTTAAGAACTCTAGGACTTTTATCTACCCTAATTGATGTTAAATATGTATCTCCTTTCTCCAGGTTAAAAGTCACAGTTCTCACTTCCTTTGTCTCACACTGCTCAGAACAATCTCAGAATATATTAATAACCAACACTACTATTAATACGGTTCCTGAAAACAGTTTGTTTTTCAGTTCTTTATTTTGTCTTTTATATATATATATCCCTCTACAGAAGTAAAGTCAAATTGGTTTTTAAATTATCTTGGAATAAATAATTCCTCTCAGTTGTTGCCATGGTTGGATATTAATTCACTTTATTTACTTTACATATATAGGGATTTCTTTTTGTTGCTGTTAATATTTTTTATTATTTTACTATTCCTGAAATTATTTTCTCAATATTTAACTGGATTCTGATTCCTTGACTAAAGGACATAAAGATTACCCTATATCTTCCTTAATACTCTGATTATATAGAATTGGAAAAGGTTATTTTAATGAAAAGTTATCAAATAAAAAGTAAGCTCCTTTGTTCTATAGCTAGATTAATCAAATACTGATTGTATACTTTGATATCAAACCACCTTAATAACTGTATTCATAAAAATTTTTTAATTTCCTTTTAAACCTGTCTTTTGAAAAATGACTATCTGCTGTGTCTTAAACATTAGCATTTATGTATAATTTCATACTTTGTGATGATTAGATTTGTACATCTGAGAAATGTTTATTTAAATTTACTATTAGGCTTTGCTAGGGGTTAGATACATAGTTATGAACAAAATATGTCTGATCTTTGTGCTCATAAATTGTAGTCTTGTGGGAGAAGATAAATGTGTAATCACATCAGTAAATCACACATTTAAAAAAGTGCCTCAGACCGGGCACTGTGGCTCATGCCTGTAATCCCAGCACTTTGGGAGGCTGAGGCGGGCAGATCTCCTGAGGTCGGGAGTTCAAGACCAGCCTGGCCAACATGGTAAAACTTCGTCTCTACTAAAAAAAAAAAAAAAAAAAATAGCCGGGCATGGTGGCACGTGCCTGTAATCTCAGCTACTCAGGAGGCTGAGGCGGGAGAATTGCCTGAACCTGGGAGGTGGAGGTTGCCAGGAGCTGGGATTGCGGCTCTGCACTCCAGTCTGGGCAACAGGAGCAAAAGCTCCATCTCCAAAAAAATAAATTAAAAAGTGCTTCAAAGGAAAAATAGATGCTAACATAATTATTTAAGAGGTACTTAATTTAGATTGAGAGTTTCAGGGGAAGACCTGAGAGGGTGACAGTGAAGATGGTACTTGAAGTATGGATAAAAATTGGCCAGATGAGGAGTGGTGGTGGAGTACTTAAAAGAAGTACAGTTTGGCTCGGCGTGGTGGCTCACAACTGTAGTCCTAGTACTGTTGGAAGCTGAGGCAGGAGGATCACTTGAGCCTTAGAGTTCAGGACCAGCCTGGGCAGCATATCGAGACCCCATCTCTACAAAAAAGAAAAAAGAAAAAATTATTAGCCTGGCATGGTGGTGCGTTCCTGAAGTCCCATCTACTCAAGAGGCTGAGATGGGAGGATTACTTGAGCCTGGAAGATTGGGCCTGCAGTGAACCTGGATGATGCCACTGCATTCCAGCCTGGGCGACAGAGGGAGACTCTGTCTTAAAAAAAAAAAAACAAAAACAAAAAGGCCAGGCACGGTGTCTCATACCTGTCATCCCAGCACTTTGGGAGGCTGAGGCGGGCAGATCATGAGGTCAAGTGTTGGAGACCAATCTGGCCAACATGGTGAAACTCCGTCTCTACTAAAAATACAAAAATTAGCCGGGCATGGTGGCGCATGCTTGTAGTCCCAGCTACTTGGGAGGCTGAGGCAGGAGGATCGCTTGAACCCAGGAGGCAGAGGTTTGCAGTGAGCCGAGATCGTGCCACTGCACTCCAGCCTGGGAGACAGAGTGAGATTCCGTCTCAAAAAACAAAACAAAAAAACCCAAAACCCTCAGAAAAACCCACAAAAAAACAAAACCCAAAGGTACAGTTTGACAAATTGGCAAAATACAGTAGAGTGGATTGGATTTGATGTAATTTTTGTTGTTGTTGAGTTTATTTATTTATTTAAAAATGAGTGCCAGTTGAAATTATTCTGATCACTTTAAAATAGCTACTCAAAATGTATATTTATGAAGCATCTTGTGGAAAAATTTATAGATTTTAGTTTCTCTTTTCAAAAAGCAATAGCCAGAACAATTATTTATATGTTATTTCCTCTGTGGCTTCAAAATCTGTATACAGTTTTAGCTCCATTTGATATTAGTCCCCTTTAAGTAAGTTTAAAGTGATTATGATTAGGAAATCTATGAGGTTTAAAAAATTTTTTGTTTTAATTATGGTAAAATACACATAACATGAAATTTACCATCCTCACCATTTTTATAGTATAGAGTTCAGCAGTGCTACGTACAGTCACATTATTGTGCAGCCAGTCTCCAGAGCTCTCAGCTTACCTGACTCAAACTCTGTACCTATTAAACATCTCCCCACACCCCTCTTTCTAGCCTCTGGTAATCATTATTCTGCTTTCTGTATCTATAAATTTGACTACTCTGCATTCCTCAAATAAGTGGAAGCATACAGTATTTGTCCTTTTGTGACTGGCTTGTTTCACCCAGCATATGCTCCTCAGGGTTCATCCATTTTGTAGCATGTATCACAATTTCCTTTTTAAGGCTGCATTATATTCCATTGTATGCCACATTTTTATCCATTCATTTGTTGATGGATACTTGGGTTGCTTCTGCCTTTTGGCTATTGTGAATAATGCTACTGTGGACATGGGTATACAAATATCCTGCTTTCAGTTCTTTTGGGAAGTAGAATTGCTAGATTGTATAGTAATTTTATGTTAAACTTTTTGAGGAACCACCATATACTGTTTTCCATAGGAGCTGTACCATTTACATTCTCACCAGCAGTGCACAAGGATTCCAGTTTATTTACATCCTTGCCAACATTGGTTATTTTTTGTTTTCTTTTTTTAGTAGTAGCCACCTACTAGGTGTGAGGTGATTTAACTTTTCTTAACCTTAGCCTTGCTGATCACATGTAATCATATCCTTAGCATTTAAATGCAAATTTAAAAATTAAAAGTGTTTACACTCTTTGCATTTGCAAAATACCTGAATTAAGTAAATTTCATTGTGACATTTCTTACTATATTATCTAATTATTTGGGTCACTTATTTATTAGTGTATAGCATTACTTTTGTTGTCTTTCTCAGTGGTGACACAGGATGGTAATAATCATCTAACATCTTTAGTTGACAAGAATTTGAAATGGATAGTGGGGACAGGCACAGTGGCTTGTGCTGTAATCCCAGCAATAAGTGAGGCCTAGAGGAACAAATCGCTTGAGCCCAGAAGTTCGATACCAGCCTGAGCAACATGACGAAACCCATTTCTACACACACACACACACACACACACACACACACTAGCCAGGCTTGGTGGTGTGCACCTGTCATCCCAGCTACTCAGGAGGCTGAGGTGGGAGAATCGCTTGAGGTTTGGAGGTTAAGGTTGCAGGGAATCCCACCATTGCACTCCAGTCTGGGTGACAGAAACCCTCTCTCAAAACAAAAACAAAACAAAGCAAAAAAACAGGAAAAAGTGGGAGATAGATCGATGAAGTGTGAAATTGTAAAGAATCTTTTACTCAGCTGAAGACTTTGGACTTGATGCTGTAAATAGTCAGGAAACCATTGGGAACTTTTAAGTAATAGTAGGGGCAAAGGAGGGGGTGGATACTAGAGGACCGATTTGAGAGAGATTGTAGAAGATATTAAGAAATGACAGGATTTGTTACATTCGATATAAAATGGAGTGAAAAACTGAGGATAACACTTAGATTTCTGACTTGGGCTGCTTTGTGTAAGCTTTTGTTTTCTTGATGTAAAATAACATAGCACTTAATACCTAATGTAGCAGGAGGAATGGGTGGGGTAGGGCTTGTCTGGTCCAGGATTGGGAATTTACAGAACATGGATCAGAGAATTGCGGATGCTTTTAGGAAATTAGTGAACATGGGATCAGTCATGAGTAGCAAAGGAAAGAAATGGATCCTGGGTGGCAGAGCACAAATGAATTGGGAGAATAGGAAGCAGAATAGTGATTAGAAATTTCAATGAGGTTAAAAAAAAAGCTGATTATTTGGGGTGAGAATATGAGAGAAGTAGGAATAACAGTGGAGGTAGGAAATCTAAGCTTAATATTTTGGATGTAAAATACTTAGAGTTGAAGGCAAGGTCTAAGGTATGGCTGTTGGAATGGGAGACTCTGAGAAGGAATGAAGATGAAGATCATTTCAGTAGAATCAGTCTAAGATTAGAGGCCAGAAATAGCGAGTTGGGCATCTGTGATAATCTTGAAGTTGTCTAGGATGATGAACCACAGTGTTGTCAGCAATTTTAAATAGACGAATTTTGCATGTTAACATTTTTGAGTAGAAAACTGCTTGTCAATTGGGAGGTGGGGGATGGTCCTGAACATATGTATCTAAAAGTTCAGAATCATAAATAGACTTTATACCTTGAAGACCAGTTTATTAAGGGATACTTCAATTTAATATATTATTTTTAAATTTTGAGACGGAGTCTCGCTCTGTCTCCCAGGCTGGAGTGCAGTGGCATAGTCTTGGCTCACTGCAACCTCCGCCTCCCAGGTACAAGCAATTCTCCTGCCTCAGCTTCCCGAGTAGCTGGGATTATAGGCGCGTGCCACCATGCCCAGCTAATTTTTGTATTTTTAGTAGAGACGGGCTTTTGCCATGTTGGCCAGGCTGGTCTTGAACTCCTGACCTAAAGTGGTCTGCCCACCTCGGCCTCCCAAAGTGCTGGGATTACAGGCGTGAGCCACTGCACCTAGCCTGCTTAATTCATTTATATAGTTTTTACTGTTTATTTCTTTTACAGTCTATTGTAAATAGTCATCTTTGTAACTCAGTTCATCCTGTTGAGTAAGAGAGAAGTGTTCTACTTTGATCATTGGGAGTACAGAGCAAAAAACAAGAGCAGAGATTGGTTTGTTTATTATTGAGAAAGTGTCATGTTTACAGGAGCAAATGTAAGAACCTGTTAGATTGGAGAAGAGAAACTTCCTTAAATGAGGGAGAAGTAGATTACAGGTCACTCAGGTAACCGTGAAAATGTAAAGATGGGATTGGGCTTGCAATAGTGTGTAACAGAGGTGAGAATCATGGCCGCGCTTCCCTTTTACCTGCATTGAAGTAGTCTGCTACAATTCAGAATTACTATTGTGTTTAAAGAAAAGTCCTCCAAAAGCATTAGTGGAAAATACTGCTAATAGCAGCACTAATTTTCTATGAGTACTAAAAGGTATTTTAAAAATGAAAAATATCAGTAGAAAAATATTCTGTATCAGTATTTCTTACCCTTAATTCATTTTCATTACCAAACCAACATTTTTATTTTGTTTTTTTTGATAGGATGACGAAAGTATTCCTATTATGTATAGGAATTTACCTGAATATAAAGAACTATTACAGTTTAAAAAGTTAAAGAAGCAGAAACTTCAGCAAATGCAAGCTGAAAGTGGATTTGTGCAACATGTGGGCTTTAAGGTAAGTTCTACTTAATTTTAGTATTCATTTAATTTTTTTTTTTATTTATTTAGAGACAGAGTCTTGCTCTGTTGCCCAGGCTAGAGTGCAGTGGCATGATCTCAGCTCACCGCAACCTCTGCCTCCTGGGTTCAAGCGATTCTCATGCCTCAGCCATCCAAGTAGCTGGGATTATAGGTGTGCGCCACTACGCCCAGCTAATTTTTGTATTTTTAGTAGAGATGAGGTTTCACCATGTTGGCCAGGCTGGAGTATTCATTTAATTTAAAAGGGTGATAAGAGTTAAAGTGGTTTCTGTAGTGTTAAACTCCAGAATTGCTAAGCATGTAGGAAAAAAGTTTATCTTTTATCCCATTCATTTATACAAAGTAGTGGTGCCATCGTTCCTGATGTGAAGAGTGTATTATTTACTAGAGTGAAGACAAACATACAGGTAGCTATCAATTGAGGTAAAATGTGAGGCGCTTTTATTTAGCTGTTTCTCTTTTTGTTGCTGTTGTCCATGGATCAGAAATGGGTTTTTTTTCCCCTTTCTGATTGAGAGGCTAATAGAAATACATATACTTATTCCGCAGAATTTTGTAACACACATTATGTTCCAGGCACTTTGCTAAGTGCTAGAGATTCAGCAGTAAACAAGACAGATTCAGCAGTAAACAAGACAGACTCAGTTCTTGCCCTTATGTTGTTTTCATTCTCATAAGGTATTTAGAGAAGTTAAACAAAATAGTTGAGTGTGGCTAGAGTACATACTAGAGAGTAGTTAGAGGCTGCTTGCACTGCCTTGGAAATTTTGCCAAGGAACTCACACTATCCTGAGGTTGTGGGGGAACCATTGAATGATTTTAAGCAGAAAGTAACATGAAATTTACGTTTTGAAAAGATCATTCTAGTTACTTAAACTATTGGGGGTGATGATCTTTAGGAAAGCAGTGGGTTTGAAACTGACCAGCTTTTCCCCTCATCATTTTGGCCATAGTATAGAAACTTAATTAGAGGAAGGCAAGACTAGAGTCAAGGAAACCGGTTAGAGATTCTTTTGATAATTTAGACAAAAGATGAGGGTGTCCTGAACTTGACTGGTGGCCATGGAAATAAAGATTGGCAAGCTTGAGAAGCCTTTAGGCATTAGAATTGACTTGGTTGGACTGGAGGAAGTAATAATGAGACCATAAACTTGGTGGTGTTGGTGGGTAGACAGGAAAGTATTGATGTGTGCTGTGACTGGTAAACCAAATTGAAAACAAAGTTGTACCTTTGATCCTCTAGAGTAGGCAGTAATCATACTATATTAAATGATTTTCCCTCTTGATCTTTCAGTGACCCTACTTCTCCATTAGAGATTTTCCTAACTGGCAGCTCTGGCCTTTCAAAAAGAAACTTGCTTCCCTTCTCCTAATTTTGCTGCAAAACCCAGCCATGGCTTGTTTGCCAGTCTGGCAGCCACTATAGTTGACCAGATGATCAAAGAAACTAGAAATGATATATCCTTTGATTTCCAAAAGTGCACAGAATACTCTGAGGACTATCATGATGCCACCACGCTGAAAAAGCCAGATCTGCCTTTTTCACCTGATGGGCATTGGTTATTAGGAGTCTTTAGGCTTTGGAGAGTGATTCAATAAGATAAAATTTAGACAGAATTTTACTGTTGCCTGCGTTCCTGTCAGCCAAGAGAACCTGTTAAAACAATTCTGTATCATATTTGGATAGTTTTAACTATGGTATTAACTCTCTGTTTCTCAACCATAGTCATCATATAGTGGTCTGAGGTACCTTTCAAGTAGATGGTTACAAATAACAAAACCACCCAAGTTGAAGATGATTTACTTTTAAAAATTTTTAAATAAATTTAAGCTGATTGAAGATTATCCCTTCTAATGTTCCTCTCACTCACGCATACCTTGATGTTGAGTGGATGGAATTTTACCTAGTTTGCTAGAAATTATCTCTGACATATAACCATTTGTGTGGTATATTACTGTCCTGTGCATGGAGAGATAGGAGAAGATGTCTATGTGCACATCGTATGTTTCCTTGTGGAGAATAAAAAGTCGTGGAACAGTATAATTTAATACATTTTCTCTCTGAATCTGTTATAGTGTGATAACTGTGGCATAGAACCCATCCAGGGTGTTCGATGGCATTGCCAGGATTGTCCTCCAGAAATGTCTTTGGATTTCTGTGATTCTTGTTCAGACTGGTAAGTATTTTCTTCATTGTCAGTCTTCAACTTAGACAAGAAAAGAGCTTCTCAGCCATTAGTGAATTTGATTTCCAAACATAGAAAATATTAATAGTCACACTTAGTGAATTAAACTTTGTTGTTCTAGGCAATTAATTTTTTCCTGTAATCATACCACATATCAGGTAACTTTGCATTACAGATTTTGATAGATTAATGGATTTAAACAGGAAGAGCTGTGAGGAAGCTTTGTAATACACAGACTAAAATGCATCCAATACCTTGTAATGATATGTGTCTTTTTTTCTTTGCAGCCTACATGAAACAGATATTCACAAGGAAGATCACCAATTAGAACCTATTTATAGGTCAGAGACATTCTTAGACAGAGACTACTGTGTGTCTCAGGGCACCAGTTATAATTACCTTGACCCAAACTACTTTCCAGCAAACAGATGACATGGAAGAGAACATCATTTACTAGTCCTCTTCAACACATAGCAATGGTATCATTGTTAATTATGTGCACAGTTTGGAAAGATTCTCTGCTTTCCCAGAAATGACACTCACAGCATGAGAGCTTCCTGAGTGTTCTCGTCAAGTACAGCTCTGCACCGTTGTGGCTCTAGATCACTGTTCAGCAGCTGAACATTCCTGGTGAGCAAAGGGTTTCCCTGGTGAATTTTTCACCACCGAATTTTAGGTGGTGATCTTAAATGGGTGAAATGGAACGAGAGCACACATTAAAGAGAGAGTAAATTCCAAAGGTTTCAAAGAACTTGGTGATAAATATGATAATGAGAAGACAAAGTATTTATATTAAAACAGTTTAGTAGCCTTCAGTTTTGTGAAAATAGTTTTCAGCACAGAAACTCACTTCTTTAGACAAAGTTTTAACCAATGATGGTGTTTGCTTCTAGGATATACACTTTAAAAGAACTCACTGTCCCAGTGTTGGTCATTGATGGCCTTTAGTAAATTGGAGCTGCTTAATCATATTGATACCTAATTTCTTTTAACCACAATGAATTGTCCTTAATTACCAACAGTGAAGCACTACAGGAGGCAACTGTGGCACTGCTTCCTTAACCAGCTCATGGTGTGTGAATGTTATAAAATTGTCACTCAGATATATTTTTAAATGTAATGTTATATAAGATGATCATGTGATGTGTACAAACTATGGTGAAAAGTGCCAGTGGTAGTAACTGTGTAAAGTCTCTAATTCACAACATTAATTCCTTTAAAATACACAGCCTTCTGCCTCTGTATTTGGAGTTGTCAGTACAACTCATCAAAGAAAACTGCCTAATATAAAAATCATATATATGGTAATAATTTCCCTCTTTTGTAGTCTGCACAAGATCCATAAAAGATTGTATTTTTATTACTATTTAAACAAGTGATTAAATTTAGTCTGCGCAGTGAGCAAGAGTTCACATGCATTCTTTTATACTGCTGGATTTTGTTGTGCATCATTTAAAACATTTTGTATGTTTCTTCTTATCTGTGTATACAGTATGTTCTTGAATGATGTTCATTTGTCAGGAGAACTGTGAGAAATAAACTATGTGGATACTGTCTGTTTATATTATAGAATGTTTGTTGTGACTTCCTTTTGGTTAGATTTTGGATTTTTTTTTTTTTTTAACCAGTGTTAAAACCAGAAATTGGTATTTTTAAAAATGGTTTGCTTCACATATTTAAGAGTTTTCTTTCCGTCATTTATGAAGAATAAGGAATATATTATGGAAAAGAGGGTGATCTTAAGCAACCCTGTAAAAGATGGTAATGTTTTTTACTCAGTGTGTGCCAAAACACTAAATTAAACCAGCTTACAAAAAGGAAACACAGACCATGGTTAAAGAAAAAGGCAGTTATTAATGCTGAGGTGTGAATACTAAAGTTGAAATTTTTTTTTTTCTAGTTGTGTCTCATGAAAATAAGCCCCCATGTATTTAAACAGATGGCTTTTGAAAAATCACCTTGTTTCCTGGAAATTATTATTAACTATAGGAAAAGATAGTATAAATATTCTAAGATTGATTGTTATATTTGACCCAATTTTTAGAATCACCTGTTTTTTCCTATTTTAAATCAAGGGAACATTATTTACTAGTTCTCTTCAGTACATAGCAGGGTACTAAAATCATACCCTGAATTGTTTTTTAATTGAGAAAAGTAATAAAATTTTAAATATAGAAATATGAGAATTTTAAAGTAATATATTGATTAAAGATCACTGATGATATAAATATAATATATCATAACAGAAGGAAAAGTAATGGACTTGAGCTTAACTTCTCACCCTGGAATTATTAGTGGGGTGAAGAGGGAAATCATTAGCATTCTGGGCATTTTTATATTAAATGGTTTGTGAATATGCCAGAAGATCTGCTTTCAACTTATAATTAGACAAGATAGTAACACTTGATGGTAACTTCTATGTTTGTGTAGAAATAATACCAGTTAGTTTTGGAAAGCCATTCAGATCCATTCAAAAATTCCATAAAGTATGATGTATGCTTTGGAAGAGGGCTATGAGTGATACAATTGTTATATAAATGGAATAGACAAACCACTTGAATGCATTTTTCAAGGGCAAACATTTTTTGAGATTTTTGAGTAATAAAGAGGATTTTTCTGCTTGAGCAGAAGGTGTGTTTGTTTTGCATTTTTCAGCTCCAAGCAAATAGCCCCCATGGTTTTAAAAGGCCCTGAAGTTCGGATAGTAGTAGGTAGTGTTTTGTTGTTGTTTTAATTTGAGAGTTGCAGGAATAATGGGCAGAGCTGTCATTTGCCAGTCGGCCACCATCTGCCTACAGAGAATTATTGGACTGAAAGCTAAAACAGACTGTAAAAGACCTACTTGCTAAAGCATTGCTTATTCAGTGGTATTCAGTAGATAAGATCTATTTCCTGATATATTGTGCTCAAGTTATTTGCACATCTTAAGAAACTTTTAATATGTAAAACCATTGCTGTAAGGTTTAGGCAGAGGAGGTTTCCTTTTGTGTGATGCCTAATAATAATAGAAAACACTGATACAGTGTTTACTATGTGCCAAGCAAGCATATAATAACTAATTCTTAACTGTATGAGGCAGGTTCATTTATTATCCTGTTGTCATATGAGGAAATCTAGCCAGAGAGAAGTTAACTAACCTGCCCAAGGTCATATAGTTAGTAAAGCAGTGATGCTTGAATTTTAACCTAGACAGATTACTTCAGAGTCAGCGTCTGCCTTACTACCCTGTTTCCTGAGCAGGAATTTCCCCTTGTGTCAGGCAACACTAGGTGTTAGGAGTGGAGGTGTGCAGGTGTTGCCTTATATTCTGTTTTCCTGATGTCGTGTGCTTTCTAAGAGTACAGACCTGAGCATATGTCCAGGCTTGCAAAGTCTCAGGCGAAGGTGGGACTACAGCTTGTGTTTCCTGCCTCGGGTAGGATTTTCTTCTATGCATGTTGGGTGCTTCTCACTTAACCTAATAGTATGCCTTGTCTGTTTTCCCCCCTTCCCCTTTTTGTTTAAATTAATTCACAGAACACAAAAATTTGCTAGGTATGAGGAACATTTAAAAAAATGAAATAGAGAAAATGGTACATCACATGTAATAAAGATAAATAGTTTTGTGAAATGTCTTTTTCAATCATATATATAAGTGTTGTGTGCTATATAAAACTATTTCTTACTGTGGATAATGAAGTTTGAAGCCTGTTGTTCATCTATGGATGCACTGGATGGGATTGGAAGTCTTCAGATTTCAGTAGGTTCTTCCACAAGCTTATGAAGACATTGTCCTGTTTAGGCTGTAAACTGTTTTTATTTCTTGATGAAAAGTGTTCTTCTATTTATGTGATCCCTTTTTTTCTACAGTTCATGTAGCTAGTTAACTAGACTTTTCAGAGTTATAATACATTTAGCTCCATGAGAACAGAGACCATCCATGTCTGTCTGTATCTCTAGGGCCTGGCATTTAATCGATTCTCAATAAATATGTGTTGGTTGTATGACCAACATTTTGGTGAGTTTACTTTTTTTTTCTCCAGGAACTTAAGAGACACCACCTATTACTGAGTGTGTCTGTGAGATCCTTAGAGGCCTTGCATCAGAAGGTCATCTTGACAGTGCTGTGAGAGGACGGGGGAATTGGATTCTATCTTACCCGAAGGCTGTGGTTCAACACTGGGTGGCAGACGTGGTTTTGGTTCTCTGTGGGGCCCTAGTATCTTGGTTCTCTTCCATGTTTTTAAGAGTAATGTAATGAGGCTGGGCATAGTGGCTCACGTCTGTAATCCCAACACTTTTGGGAGGCCAAGGCAGGTGAATTGCTTAAGCCCAGGAGTTGATCAAGACCAGCCTGGGCAACATGGCAAAACCTTGTCTTTACTAAAAATACAAAAAAATTAGCCGGACATGGTGGCTCATGGCTGTAGTCTTAGCTACTCGGGAGGCTGAGGCTGGGGGATCACCTAAACTTGGGAAGTTGAGGCTGTGGTGAGCCAAGATGGTGCCATGGCATAATAGCCTGGGGGAGAACGCTGTCTCAAAAAAAAAAAAAAAGGTAATGGAAAGGACACTGGAGTGAAAATTCTGGGTCTTAGTCCCAGTCGTGGAAGTGAATCATTCAGTAAGTGTTTACAAAGAACTACCTTTCATTGCACGTTAGGAGCTAGTAAATGATTCGTGTGTCTTACTAACTTTTGTTTAATCCTCACAGTTCCTCTATGAGGTTCATTACTATTATGTTCTCCATTGTATACATGAGAAAACTGGAGGTGCAAAGAGTATGTTAAATATGTTAGCTCTCAATAGTAATTACTGTGTTTGGGACTGGAGATACCAAGCCGTGTCCTTATGGAGGTTATAATCTAATGCAGAAGACCAGCAATAAGTAAGTAAAATAAAAACTAGTCATTGCAGGCAGGGATAAATGCTAAGAAGATAAATATGCTCAGAGAAAAATAATAATGGGAGAATGGCGAATAGTCTGCCATTTTAGATGGAATAAGCAGAGAAATCCTCTATTGGCCAGGGTAAATTCAAATAGAAACCAGAATGGAGCAAGGGAATTTGCTGCATGAATAATCTGTAGGAAGAGGCAGAAGGATAGCAATAGCACACAGGCCCTGAGCCAGTAGACTGTGGCTTGTTCTGGCAACATAAGATGGCCAGAGTAGCTTAAGCCAAATGAACAAGAGGAGAGTAGTACTTGATGGCATCAAAGAGGGCACAGGCCAGCTCAGCTGTGGCCTTGAATACATATCATTGTAAAGGAGTTTAGATTATGTTCTGATGTCTTCTACATACACACACGTCTTTTGCTAGACAGAGACCTCTAAGGTCTTTTCCAGTATTAAAATCTTATGACTTTAAAGTAGTGATATCATTTCAAGCCATTCAAATCAGCAATGTGTTCTAGAGAAGAGTTGATTTGCACTTCTAGATACTCTTCAGGGGCAAAGCCATTTACCCTTGCTAAATTTTTCAAGGTGGCTGTCAGCTGTAGCCGTAAGAGCCTGTAAAAGATGGTTGGACCTTTCTGCCCCTCTACTGTCTCATTTTCCTTACCTATGCAGTCAGAGCTGTGCTGGGCATGGACTGTGTTTGCCAGTATATGGTATGTGTTTCAAGAATGTTAATCCCTACAAAGAGTCATTTTATGTTTTCTGGCACAACTGATGATTTTCTTCCTGTAACCTTTTTTTGTTTCCAGTTTGCTCAAGTACTTATGCTCCCCGATAGAGAGTGTGACAACTTGGGGTAGTAATAAAGTAAAGTATATGACAACTGTTGGAGTTGTGGGAACATGCCCCCTTTTGTTAATAGAGGCACAATTGTAACCAAAGAAATTTAATTTCTTCTTTAGCAAACACTGACATTTCTGTTTCAGAATGAGTGCTAAAGAAAAAGGAAATATGAAAGTTACCATGTATCGTGAATACATTGAGTTCTCTCTGTTAATAACTCAAAACTGATCTATAGCTAAAATTAAAAACATATAAGCGTATCGTAAATCTTGACTGTCTTTGTTCACCTCTAATTCTGTTTGGAATAAGGCTTCAAATGCTTTCCAGAATGATGTGAGTTACAAATAAATAGAAAAAGAGTTATCCTGTCTTCCATTTATTTTATTTGTACATATCCATTTCAAGAAAAAAAGAGACTTAAAAAATACAATTCTATCCCAGAAATGGATCCTTATCTGCACAACCATTGAAGAAAAAAAAAATCATGCAAACTGAAACTATGTTTTTTTGTAGTGACTGAGTGGAAGATGCAGTTATTCCAGTAGAATATATAAGAAGCTCTGATTTTACAACTGATAGCACAAAAGAAAACCCAAACTTCACTGGTTTAATGCAAGGAAACACAATTTTGCATATGGGTATGACAAGGTTTGCAAACTTCTGGAAAGGGCCCATATGAAACAAACACAAGATTGAACACACCACTTACTGACATGCCCCTCCTACCCACATCAGGTTTGTTACGGTATTTTTTACTTGCTTGGAAACAAATAAATGGGTGACCATTTAAAATCAAAATTATACTTTGATATGTGCCCAATGAATGAAATTGCAAATATCTCATGCTTTTAAATTACTTTTGGTCATTGATATTAATTTATAATTGCTGAAATGCATCACCATGTAGAGAAGAGACTAGGTTACACAATTTATCAGATTTGTTCCCTTAGCCATAATGACAGTATTCCAAAGTTCTTAAAAATAATAGCGAATGTTACTGATGACTAACGTGGGTTTTACCATCTTGGAAAAGCTATACAATTTCATATTTTAAAATTTCTGTCAAATTTTGCTTGATGCCTCTATATCATGTACAAGGCATTGTGTAATCAACTCACCTTATGGCTCTGAGCCACCAGAAGATGAGAGTTGACGAAACAGCCAGACACCAAAGGAAGATGGCCAGGGCTGCCCCTGTGCCAGGGGCCTCCACTGGGGAACAGTATGTAAATCTTGGGGAGAGGAAGATGTGACTGGGAGTTAGGGATGCTTAATGAGAGGAGAAGCAGATGATCAGGGTCTAGCAAGGCCTGTAATCACAACAGGCACAGACTGGTACTGCACCACTGTTTATGTACTGACTAGCTCTGAGTGTGGCCTGCATGATATACCGTGTGTGTGCTGTGAGTGCAGACAGTTGTCTGAAGTGTGGAGAAGAGGTTGATAGTCCCAAATACACCATGCATGATTTCCAGATACCTCTCACACAGGTCTAGCTGGGAAGCAAACAGTGCTGTCAGGATTTAGGGGGTGGGGGAGTGGGGGCAGGGGGCACAAAAGGTTTAACTTGAAACATTGTGTTAAGGAATGAACTTTTTAATGTTTTTCTGTTTCCACTCTAACAAACATGCATTTTCGCCTTCAGAAAATAGAGTCAATAGCTGTGCAGAGTTGAAGAAAAACGTCCTCTGGTGTTCCCTCTGCATTTATCTATATTTAAAAGGAAAAAAAGAGAGTTAGTCTGAAATATTTGTAAATAAAATCATGTTTAATAATGAAAGATCACTATCAATTGCTCATAATTTGCTCTGCAAAATTTTAAAACACAAGACCCTCCAAAACAGAGAAAAAAGTGAAGAGTAGTGGTTTTAAAACTACATGTCTCAATTAAAACAACAATGAAGTACCACTACACATCTATTAGAATAGCCAAAATCCAAAGCACTGACACCACCAAATGCTGGTGAGGACATGGAGCAATAGGAACTCTCACTCATTGCTTGTGGGAACACAAAACGGTACACCCACTTCAGAAGACACTGCAGTTTCTTAAACTGAACATACTGTTACCATACTTTTTAGCAGTTGCACTTCTTGGTGTTTTACCCAAATGGGCTGAAACCTGAGCATCTACCCAAAAACCTGCATATGGATGTTGACAGCAACTTCATGCATAATTGACAAAACTTGGAAGCACCCAGGATGATCTTCAGCATTTTAATGGATGGATAAACTGATATATCCAGATGCACAGGGGAGTATTATTCAGTGCTAAACTTTATATTACTCAGTGATTCAGGCTTCTCTGAAGAGGGTACATATTGTTTGGTTCCAATTATATGACATTCTGGAAAAATCAAAACTGGAGACAGGTTTAAAAAGATCAGTGGTTGATGGGCAGAGGGCAGGTGGAGATGAGAAGGTAGAGTACAGGATTTTTAGAGCAGTGTAACTAGTCTATGGGAACGCTGCTCAATTTTGCGGTGAACCTAAGACTTCTCTAAAAAGGAAGGCCTATTTAAAACAAGTCCCTAGGTAAAGCATTGCTATGGTCATGGAAAGACTTTGGAGTTACTTAAAATGAGACTTCTGAGTGTTCTGGTGCATTTGGTAATAGTAAGGAGATTGGGGCATGAGGGAGAGAGGTGTGGAGAAGAAAGCAAAAGGCTAGGACCACAGTGTGTAGGTGTGCTAAAGGCAAAGTCTGCTTGGAGACTGTTGACATGCCAGCCCAAGGAGGACATATCAAGGGAAGCTGACTTTCTGGGCACGAAAGTACTGCCCCTTCCCCTGTCCTAACATTGCACCAACCGCTGAGATTTGTTCCATTACACCTGTATCGTCTACGGAAAGTAAAGGCCTGGCCAAGCACAGGAAGCACGTGGGAGGCCAGGGGAATGCTGGTGGCGTGCATCAACTTCCACAAGTGTCACCCAGGTTACTTTGGTAAAGTTGGTTATGAGGCATTACCACTTAAAGAGAAACCAGGGCTTCTGCCCAACTCTCGACCTTGACAAATGTAGACCTTGGTCAGTCAAGAGACATGAGTCATCACACACTGACAAAAATAACAATAATAATAATAATAATAAATAAAACAGGTTGGAGCTGCTCCCATCATTGATGGAGTGCTATGGGCTACTGCAGAATTCTGAGGAAGGGAAACTTCCAAAGTAGCCTGCTGTCATGAAGGCCAAGTTCTTCAGCAGGAGAGCTGGGAGAAGACTAAGGATGTATATATAGGGGGAAGTAGGGAGGCTGTGTCCTGGTGACTTGAAGCCACAAGGAGGGAGCTTAACTAAATGCTAACAAATGAAAAAAAAAAAAAGGAAAGGGTTAGTGATCTACATGAGTCATGGGGTGGGTGGTAAACTTGCTAAAACACAGCTTTCCAGGCCATATCTGCAGAGAGTCTTGTTTGGTGGGTTTGGACTGGGTCTTTAATCTGTATATTTAACAAATTCTCCACATGATTTTGTTGTGGGCCATCTTGGAGCACACTTCGAGAAACACAAAGTTTTCAAACATACATTTTCAAGCACACTTTGAGACTCTTGTCTACCTATCCAAATCTTCGTGCAAACTAGTTTGCATTTTTCTACCCCTAGGGATTTCACTGCTTCCAGAGGTAGAATGAATTCTCAACACCATCAACAAAAAGCATGTTGCATGTTTAAATACTGGAGAAAATGGATACCACAATATTAATGGATACAACAATATTAATATAATGACTGTCATTCCCAAACTGGAAAAATCCTGTATGTCCATTAACAATAGATGGATAAATTGTGACACAGTCATATAATGGAA